GGCTAGTATTAAACATTTAGTGAGAACAACTAGTCCCTCTGCTCCAATATATGACCTTGTGCTTTTTTAACAGTATGTTTTATCGAGGCACAAAAGAAAAGTTTGGATGTTGAATGAAATGTCATGTTTACATTCACGGTTTTTCCCCCAAACTAATTGTGTGTATCTTTTGGGTCTAGCAACTGGGATGATTTATTCCCCATAAAGCACTTCTTCTTCCTGTATGCCCTTGCTGGTGAATGCATGCATATTTGTGCGCCTAACCACCACCTGTAGATCACTGAGCACTAGTGTGACATCATTGGCGGATGTGTATAGAGTGGCCGATAGGTGCAAACGCTTTACAACCGCTCTAAACATTTTCTATTAGGAGAAACGCACTGCAGTTTAAAAAACAATGTGAATTTGGGCTGGTGTAGCACGTTTTCCACCTGTCGGCCACCGTATGTGTCTCACAGGAAAACTGCTAGACATTGATCCTACAGGTTAAAAAAAAGCCACAGCTTAAAGTCAGATATATTAAATATAAATGAAAAAAGAAATGTAAGAGATATTAAGCATTAGTTTGTTTAAAAGTAACATGTAATGTAAAACAACCTGAGATTGGGTTTCAAAAGTACCGTACTACGTTTCCTACCAATAGACAATGTTAGTTTCTTTACCCATAATGCCGATTTCCCCCTAGACATAATTACAGCAGAATAGGACAATTATTCAATTATTTATATCTGGAAAGCCCAATGCACTGGTTAACATCATCTGGGTTTTTGTGAGTAGGTTTCCTGGTTTCTCTTTAAGACAGAAAGTCACTCAAAATATCTTAACAATGTTCATATCCATGTTCCTCCCCCTCCTGTCTTTGATGTCCTCAGTGCCTTCACCTACAACCGGCTGTGTTCTCCTTCAGTTCTTTATGCGCTGGTCTCAACAATGCTGCCACTGTGTCCCTGATCAAGGTCACATAACAATCCATCGATAAAAGTTGTTTTATGTCTACACCTCTGTTCCTAAGTGCTGTTGTGATGTAAGAAATAACCGTACATTTAGGATGGGACTGTGATGTCCTCTGCCTTTGAATTTCTTTATAACTTTACATTTAAAATACAACATGAAAACACAAGAAACAGATTGAATCACATCATCAAGTTGCAGATTCTGTCAACAAACATTTGCATACAATGTCCAGGATTGTTAGCGACAACCTGTATTCTTACTTTGCCCTCCTTGAACAACACTGTATTGCACTTAATTGCTGTGTCCCTGTGATTTTTTAAAGAAAACCTAAAGGGTCGCTGTCGATTCAGTGGACCTCACTCTCAGCTCACTGGAGAACACGTTTACAAAAATGAGAAAATCAACCGGAGTGAGATAACTTGACCGGCACACGTAGCGTAATATGCTCTGATCTACTTTTGACACTGCAAATAATGGAGAGGAGCACCAGAGACAAGGAGGGACAGACAGCCAGGAGAGATAAGATGAAGAACACAAAGGGGAACACAACCACTTATGAAACCAAAAAGCCCTGGAACTCATCACACCACAGCAAGCAGAAAACCCTTCGCCCTCTTCCCGTCTTTATCTCCTCAGCAACGACCTCCATCCCTCCCCTGATCCTTCTCCATCCGCCTGCCCAGCTCAATGACAATCAAAGGTCAAACGTCCCCTCCCTTTTATTTGTTGCAATTCCCCAGCAGCCTCTATTTGTTCACATAAAGGAGTTGACGAGGCTTTGATGGAGTGGAAGAAGGTGATTGTGTGTGTGTGTGTGTGTGTGTGTGTGTGTGTGTGTGTGTGTGTGTGTGTGTGTGTGTGTGTGTGTGTGTGTGTGTGTGTGTGTGTGTGTGTGTGTGTGTGTGTGTGTGTGTGTGTGTGTGTGTGTGTGTGTGTGTGTGTGTGTGTGTGTGTGTGTGTGTGTGTGTGTGTGTGTGTGTGTGTGACCAGCTGCATGCTTCACTTAATTGCAAATGATGATATGCTCACACAGGAGTGACCATGCTTTCCCTGAAACACAGCAGAGCAGTTTAAAGTGTGTCTCTTGGGAAGAGGTTTGTGTAAAAGACTAACAGCTGTGTGTGTGCGTGTGTGTGTGTGTGTGTGCTGTGGTGCTTTCATCTTTTTCAGAACTAGTTTTAGACCTTGAGAGCAAAGACATAGTTTGAAAGATAGGACATTTTGTTCCGGTCTTCCCTATCAGAAACACTTATTGTTTTGGGGGTTAATGTTCAACAACCATTTTAATTCTCACTTTCTGTATAATATGAACTATAATGGTTCTGCAGCTATCATGAGTCATTTTCCATAGCAGGATAAAACAGTTTTGGGACATATTTGCAGATAGAGCAACTCATGGGCTTGGTCTTCCTCGTGTCACCCATGGGTTTCTGAAGAAGTGTTGTAAAGCTCAATGTGGTTTGCAATGGCCGTCGTTGATAGAGATGACCCCTTGAAAAAAGAGCTAATGGCGCGTTTCCACTACAGCCCGCAGCCCGGTTTAAGAGGGCTGTGACGTCAGCGGCCCGTCTTTGGTTGCGTTTCCACTTGGCCTAGTACCGGCTGGCGGGTCCTAATTCACAGTTTTTCTGGCCTCATAAAATCGTGGGGCCAGGGCCAGAGACAACGAGGCTGAGTCGGGCTGAGTATGCTAAACTAGAGAGAGCGTCGCTGGCAAGGGGGCAACAACTACAACAAGATGGACATATTTGACCGTGATTTAATTGTAATACACGTTTCAAAATGATGCCGAAGTAACAACATACTGATACCGGTTAGTAAAAACCATGAATTAATGCTTTGTCAAGTCTGCAGACAGACGGCAGGGGAAAAACCTTTTAAAATGCTTGTTTTCTAAATGGAGATTGGCTAAGCTAACGCAGTATATGCCCCGACCGTCCACACTCACAACAACGGCCTATACAGACATAAATAAAGCAGCGACTGTATTCACCATGACACAGGCAGTCTGTGGTTTGTAATTGTTTAACTTTTGTCTAGTTTCTGAACATATATGAGGAGCTCTGAGTGCTAACAGCTAACGGCTGTGTTGTTTTTCTGGGGTCCTCTGAAGATCACGTCACGGCTCCGCCTACACTGCGTTACTATAGATACTGCCCCAGTTCCTAAACTGTAATGGAAATGCGCCATAAAGTGAGCCAGTCCTAACAAGGCCCAGCCATACCGAGCGGGGCCGAGCGAGGCCGTATAGTGGAAACGCGCCATAAGAGGTAAATCGTCTCTAGGGCTAATGTGGGCACTTGTAACGCAGTCAAGCAGTGGCTAACAGCTGTGACGGCACCTGTCTGTAAGCTCCTATTATGCACAACTTTAAGCAAAAAATAAATAAACGGATGGTTGTAAAAAAAATCATAGCACATAGTTACCACGATTGGGGAAATTAGCAATAGCATACCAAAAGCGTTATTTGTTCCAGGCTGTAAACATCTTTATTCATTCTATACAGTTGGCTATTTTGAAGGACTTTAGGGACTCGCTTTTCGAGAAACTGCAGGTTTTTACACTATTGCATTGGCTTCACTTTTTTAGCACCAGAAGTATCCGCTTGAAGTAGAGGTGTTGCCAAATGTTTTTCTGGTCATATGCACATCGTAGCTGTTTTTACCATATGGGTGTGATACAAGGTTGATTTTCTCTTCTAACATTGGAATTTGAAATGTACAACATCAACAATAATCAGTTGGATAAATGTGGATGAATTGTAATGCTATAATATAAATAATATATATAATATAATAGATGAACTCAGACGATCAGGTAGGATTTTCTGTGAAATGGCAAGATGGGTGGGAAGGGGGAGGGACGGGGTGGTGTGGGGAAGGGATTCCCTATATTTTTTCTTTGTCTTTTTGTATTATTGTCTATATAATTTGTATCTATGTATATAAGTCCCTCTGTGAGGGCAACCAAAAAAAAGAATAAAAAGTTGGTCACAAAAAAACAAAAACAATAATCAGTTGGGTGGACCAATGATATAGGATTTGATATTCCCTTTGAAAGTGAAACCTGTTGCATAGGTTGCTAACACAACAGACCTAGGTTTAAGTCAATGCATTATGTGAACACGGTCCTCACAATTGTGTGTGTGTGTGTGTGTGTGTGTGTGTGTGTGTGTGTGTGTGTGTGTGTGTGTGTGTGTGTGTGTGTGTGTGTGTGTGTGTGTGTGTGTGTGTGTGTGTGTGTGTGTGTGTGTGTGTGTGTGTGTGTGTGTGGCTGCCGGCACCGTTGACTTTGCAAAATTGACCTACATGTGCACAGCGTTCAGACACCTGAGTTTACCGAGCCCGGTTCTGACTCATCCTGCACGAGTCAGTCAGTGTGTGTGTGTGTGGGTGGGTGGGTGTGTGTGTGTGTGAAACCCGGTGTGCACTGCCTGCCTGCGTCTTCAGTTTATTACGTCGCTGCATGACGCACAGTAGCGAGAGACAAGAGGTGAGGGAGGAGAAGATGGAGGGGAGGATAGAAAGAAGGAAGGGCTGAGGGGGAGAGGAGAGGAGGGGGAGGGGGGAGGGGAAGGAGGAGAGGGGACTTTTCTCAGACACCCAGCATGCAATGACCTTAGTTTTATTTCAAGGCGGAGGTCTCTCTCAGACACACACACACACACCGGTGTCATCCATGTGGACACGAGGACGTCAAACAGCATCTTATTCCGCTCACACATCCCTGTCTGTCCCGCCTCTTCTCTCAACACACAGACTGAGATCTAATCCCTACAGTAAACTAAGCAGACAGTAGACAACACACCCTAAAAAAGACCCCTGGTGTTACAGAAAAAGCGCAAAAGAATTACATTTAAAAGCGCTGCAACTCCCTGCAGGAATTTTCCTAAAAGTATGATATCTGCCGGTGCCTCCTCTCTCCTTCTGACCTTTTTAATTTCCTCAACATCTCCACCCTGCAAACGCACGGTCACGCATTCCTCTATCTTTTCATGTCTACCCATCTCTACCTCCACATGGCAGAATATAAAGCGGGGTGCTTACTGATGGTCCGGGATCCTATGCAGCCCATGTTGTCTTACAGAGGCTGGTACAGCTCGGGGAAAATAAAATCCATCCGTCCAGCGGGCATTTCTCCCCGGATTTCTTCCTCTTTTGTCTCTCTGCGCTTTCCCCTCTCCTCCTCTTCTTCTTCTTCTCCTCCTTCTCTCAGTGTCTTTTTCTTCTTCTTCGCTGTCCTCTCCTGTGTGTGTGAGAAAGAGAGTGTGTGTGCGTGTCATCCGCGTCGCTTCCTCTCTCTGGCTGCCGCCGTCACACACACACCGATTCCCCTCAGTCATTGTCCATGTCGCTTTACCTCTCTCTCTCTCGCTCTCTCTCTCTCTCTCTCTCTCTCTCTCTCTCTCTCTCTCTCTCTCTCTCTCTATCTCTCTCTCTCTCTCTCTCTCTCTCTCTCTCTCTCTCTCTCTCTCTCTCTCTGGACACGCACATGCATGAGCACAATGCAAATATAGATTAGATGCACTCATAACATGAGCACCTGGGTGGAGTGTACAGCTCTTTGAGAGCTCACTGAGAGTTTACTTAATAATCAAACAGTGGTGGACTGGCCATTGGGAATACCGGGAGTTTTCCTGGTGGGCCGGTGCCGAAGTGGGCCGGTCGGATTCCGCCCCTGTAATCAAATACAACTTTATTTATCCAGAGGGAATTTGCTGTGCAGTTGCAATATTAAGTGGAACGAGTCGAATGCACATGTACAAATAGATATCTTATGGCCTACAATGCAAAAAGCATGTTAACAGTATGGATAAATGACAACATGCATTCTTGAACGATTTTGCAGATTGTAATTTAAAAGTTATAAGTATAAGTAAAAACTTTGAAAATGTTGTTCCCTCAATAATTGTTTCAGTCAAGCATTCCCTGAGTGAACTTTTGGGAAATAAACCCTATTCAGCGCTTTTCCATCAGTGTCTGATTTACTCAACTACAATCTTGTAACAAAAATCATTGCTAAATTTCTATATCTAGTTCATAGCAAACACTTTTTGTTGTCTTTATGCAATGTCACTATCACGCCATACTGTAGCTGCATTGAACTATGTCTTTTTGAGTCTGACAAAATATTGCGATAAATGGGCCCCTTTTTTCTTTTCAATCTACTACATTTCAACGATTTTCACGATTTTCGTATATCATTCAAATTAAAACTATAGCTTCCCGGCCACGCTGAAAAAACCTAATCGTTACGTTATTGCGTTTGCTGCAGAACTTCAACTTTATGGCAGTTAATGATTGCATTGCCAATTGGTATATAACATTTACCTGTTTTTTTTATTAAAAAAAAATGTTTAAACGAACTTGCCCTCTGCAGTACTACAATATACCACTAGGGGTGCACTTACCCCACTTCTTACAGGGTTCTGAAACAAAATCTGACCGTTTGAACCTTCAGTTTTCCTGTTGTGGTTGTAGTTGAGGTCAATGTTGTTGTTTTTTATGAATATCCCCTCATTTACTCAATATACCAAGTGCCTACATCCTTATTCATCATACCCTCTCAGGAGCGGCCTTCGGATAAACAGTCTAATGTATCATTTGAACGTTTTATATGCTTGAGTAAAAGCGAACCAGTGTTGATGCGAGCGATATCTGATGCATGTCATTTGTGTCACCGTTCAGCCTGTTAAGGTCTGCAGCTGGGCTTTCCTCTCTAACAATGAACTACAGCTGTTCTCCAAACATGCCCGCCCTCCCCTCTGCCTCCCTCCATCTCTCTCTCACACAATATGAATATGAAAACACAGTGATTCAGCTCTAAGGAGTGCAGGCGAGGAAGGGCGGCGCTCTTAACTCTATTAACTCCATCTCAGACGGAGAGCTGAACTCTACTCTGAACTGCACACTCCATAAATACACAGACGGATTGACTGCAGACTGGAGCCTGGCACAGTTTTAAAGCTTTTACAACCAAATTAGAGAGTTTAAAGCATACAAGACCTCTGCTCTTTATATTGAAAGACTTAAAATGTCACTCAGATTACAGTGCACACTTTATTTTCAATTTCCTTCTAGCACAACACCAAACACAAACTAAACATGTGTGTCTTCCATACGGTTACAAATCACTGTTGCAAGCATAAAACAATTTCCTGATATGGGTTTGCAATGGTACAAAAAGGCACAAAAAACGACTAGGTTAGGAAAAGATGGTGGATTGGTTCAAATAATGACTGGGTTATTGAACAATCATCTAGTGTTAACTGTCAGGAAGGAACAGAAACGAAATAGTAGTCAAAGGCAGATCGTTTTTGCGTTAAGCAATATGTTGACCTATTGCACGAGAGCAATACATTTTCGAGTTTTGTCACTAAGCATGTTGTTTCAGGGTCTTTTTTGGGGGCGAGGACAATATTAATATGCACATAGCGAACCATGATGTGCAAATAATGAGTATTTCTGATTTATTAGCCATTGGCTTTGTAGTTTTGACATTCAATTTAAATTGTTATAGTGTCATTGCTCTCACTTAGGTCATTGAGATCTCGGAACATCGCAACATAACGAAGGATGAAAGAAAGAGTAAGACACAAAAAGCAATATCACAGAATGTTATAAAGCTAACACATCTAAATCATATTTATTTAGAGCACAGAATAAGGAATTTGAGGAGTTCAGAGTAAATAAATGATGATGATTGATTGATTTCACAAATCTATAAGCTTTTGTTCCTAGACATGAGGTCCCAATGAGAGATAAGAAAAACACGTTTTGTGTTTTAGTTTAGAGGACTTGGATCCAACCTGTTTTACCCGACAAGTCTTCTTTTTAGCAATGGCTCCCTGTTCCTAAACATCAGTAGTTAACTTGGTGATCACATAATTCAATGAAAATTATAGCCAGGTCCATGAAGAATGAGAAAAACTGTGTAATAAACTATAATGAATGTGCCTTGAGTCAAATGTTTTGAGCATTGATGTCATGAGGTTATCCAGAAACATTTAAAATGACTACTTTTGAAGATTTATGATTTGAAAGTATAACATAAAACCAAAAAAGCCCCAAAATAACACTTATATATACCTTCACATATATACCATATGTAATGAATGAGACTTGTGTCACTACTAGAAAAATAGTAAACATGACCTAAAAAATAATAATGTTAATGGCTGAAGACTTGGATCCTGCTTTTATTTGTATGTTCTTTAAGTCATTTTGTAGATTAAATTCAGCTGAAACAAAGTGTCCAGCCTTGAACTAGTTCACGTCTGTAAAAAGCTGCATCATCCCCTCAGGTTTTATTAAAAGCGGCCTGTTGCTGTGGCAGCTCTTCATCTGGACTTTTAATTACAGCTGGCCCATCAGATCAGGCAGTATAATTCACCTTAACGCCAGCACGCGGTGCCAAACTGTGAATGTGTCATCCTTATCTGTCGTCACACCAGCACAGTCTGAGAGGTTCAACAGATGTACAGTCTCCACTGCCTCGCTGACGTCATCTGATGAGGAGAAAAACCCATTTGCTTCTGCTCCATTGAATGCAGCCATTTCTTTAAACACGTAGAGGTTATATTGTTCAAAAAGGGGATAATCTAATCAGAAAGCGTATGCACACATACATTAACAATAGCAGCTTTATATTTAGAAGTCTGTTCTGTGAAATAACTAAATAGATGTTTAAGTGTATTGACCTGTTTTTCTTGTTCAAGTCACACTAAATTTGAGTGATTCAATCAAGTAGTATTTATTTGCACTGCAGACTGTCTGTAAATAATAACACAATCAGAATCAGAATACCTTTATTAGTCCCACGGAGGGGAAATTTGCGTAATTACAGCAGGAAAAAAAGCCACAGACAGCTTAATGTTACATACTGTATGTTAAATATGTGACATGCATTAAAAAAAGTACTAAGTTATGATATAATAAAAAATATAATAAAAAATAAAAAGTTACATATTTAAAAAAAATACACATCCTGTAACAGTTCTTATGATTTAGGTTGTGATTTTGTCATTTTTTTGTGATTTTATCATACAACTAAACTAAAACGTTGATATACACTCATATTGAATGGTAATCCCACACCATTGTGCATCATATTTATTTATTCGTGACCATTTGGGCTGCAGTTGGTTACTTTATTTAAAAAATAACTGTCACAATATCCTGACCGTAGTGAATGAGATAGAGAATCTTGGGGGGGAAATGAAGTCTCTGTCCCTTGCAATAACTTCAATCAAACTGCCACACTATAGGAAGCCATGATCAAATAAGAAGCAAGATTATGTTCCTGAATTGCATCTTTCTCTCCTCAATGTTCCAGAAACACATTTTAGTTTACTGTTTACTGTACCTCAAATATAAGAACATGCCATGGTTGCCATGTTGAAAGCAATCGATCCAAAACCAAGCATCAGATAAAGCAACGTTTTCATTTTCCATCTACACAGTACACTTAAATATGTTTCCGCAACATTAGAGGTGGAAAATAAGCAATCCAGTACCAAAATCTTGATTTATAGTGAATTTTGCACTGCCTAGTTTGACAGTTTGAACAGAGTTCACCAGCAGCCATTCCTCTGCTGATTGGTAGCTTTCTGTTAAGAAAACAAGTGACAGTTTTAGCAAATAAAAATCTGAATAAAGTTACCAACTGCCTATTTTAAAGTAGCATTTACATTTTATAAATACTAGGTTGCTGATCTCAAGCAGTCTTTAAAGTTTTTTTAAGACTTGACAAAGACTGTGAAGAGTTAAAACTTTTAAGCAATCACACTTTCTGTACCTGCTTTCAGAGTCCAACAATGGACTGCAGTTGTCCAAAAAGGAATGAGTCATTTCAGTTTAAGGTTTCAGAGACAAAAATAAATGTAGTGGGGGGGTGGATTTATTTATGAATAAAAATGTTCAAATCGCAGATAAAGACAGTCACGTGATGAGTCTGCAAACACTTTAAATTCACAGACAGACTTCACCATGATAACATCGCCTCAAAGAATAGTTGCAAATCCAGCACTTTACTCACATATCAAAGTTAAAATGGTGATTCAAATGTAAAGTTGGGGAAGAGATGGAGAGCATGCGGGTGTATTTCAGTAATGTGTCTGTATGGAAGAGAATAAAGAGGGAAAAGAGGGAAGAAACAAAGACAGAGCAGGAGGTAAAACCCAGGCATCAGCGGATGCTTTTCAAATAGTGAAGGAGGGATGGAAATGGGGGGATGAAGGGAGGAGGAGGATACGTCTATGAGTCATGCTGAGAGATG